CAGGGTTACCAAGTTGGTTAGATTTCCAATGGAAGAGGGTATTGGTCCAGATAGGGAATTGTTAGACAAGGCGATATCCCGAACTGAGGTTAAGAGACCGATCTCCAATGGAATCGATCCGTTTAACTTGTTCTCATCAAGATAAAGGGTTTCTAGGTTTCGCAAATTGCCAAGCTCAGGTGGGATTTCCCCGGTTAAGTAGTTTGTGGAAAGGTCAAAGTAGATGAGTTTAGAGATGTTTCCGAATTGAGGAGGGATGATTCCAGAGAAACGGTTTATGCTAAGATCAATGTAAGCAAGGTTTGGGAGAGAAGAAAAGGGGAAATCTTGGAAAGTACCTTCTATAGCGTTGTCAGTGAGGTTTAACTTTTCGACACTCCCTCGTGAGTTGCAGGAAACACCATACCAACTGGAGCATGGAAAGCTAGTATTGGTGTTTGTATCGTTGATGACCCATGAAGACAGCTTTGATGAGGGTCTCTGGTTCGTGAAAGTGGATTTCCATTTGAGAAGAGCGTTTGTTTCTGAGATAGTCGCAGAAGCTGTGATAGAACAGCTCAAAGTTATGGAAATGAACAAAAGGAAACGAAGAAGATTATAAGAAGGATTCTTCTCAGCAAAAGCCATTCTCATTCACTCTTATTTTTCTCTCTTGGTGATAGACAAAGCTATCCAAGTTCTGTGGCTCTTTAATAGTCTTCATGGACGCTTAGTGATTGACTTGGGGTCGTCTCTTTGATAATGAAGGCCTAACCCTGGAGTGTGTTCGAGTTATATGTTTTGGCTGTTTGCTTTAAGAAATTACGTTGAACATTGTGGTTTGCAAGTCATTGTGTTTTGGAAGATATTGATCAAGAAGAGACTTATCTCTCATGCACACTCTGTTTTATTTTCCCACAATTCGCTTAGCCATAAGTAATTTGTTTGTTATTTGATAAACTTTGCTTCTTAACGTATAGTATTTGTTTATTATACTTCTTACGATTCTCCCAAACTTCAAATTATGTTTTGTTCTAGATTTAACTACACACAGCGTATATAACATTTGTCTTTTTAAGTATTTTTGTGAAACAAACACAAAATATAAAGCTTTACTTAATATAAGACGGAATGAGTCATATTATATTCATTGTATTGGTTTATTACTCCTCGAACCAACTGTACTGAATCAATGTTTGCTATGCATGGCATATTCAATTTTTTTATTCAACTATTTTGTAGAGAATAAAATTAAAATCTAAAGGAGAATGTAACTTTTATTTATAGAGAACAAAATAATCTAAACGGAGAATGTAACTTTTATTTATAATTGACTTTGGGTCGTCTCCTTGATAATGAAGTCCTGACTTTGCAGTGGGTTCGAGTTACTAATTTTGGCTGTTTGCTTTGTAAAACTACGAAACCATTGAAAAATGCAAGTCATTGTGTTTTGGAAGATACTAGTGAATATCGGTGAAGAAGAGACTAGTGAGTTGCTGATAAAACTTGAGTGCTGCTTGTTAACTTGAGTATTCGAAAGTTTTTTTTTTTTTTTTTTTTTTGTTCTGAAGTATACGGTTTCATATAGTCTTCCTCTTTTGTAACAAACTATAGTATTTTTAAAAAGACTTTAGTAGCTTAAGTTGTGTAACATTTAATTATTATGGAGTAGAATGATAATGGTGTTTGGGAGTATATTATTCAATCATGCAATAAATTTTAATTATGTTAATCTAGAACAATCAAAACTATCATCACTTTTCCTTTCCTTTTTTTTGAATAATCAAAGAGGTTCTGCACCGAAGCCCATACATCCCCCCAGGTCCGAGACCAGAACATGTTATATGGTCTCGTCCCAAGCGCTACTCGAACCGGCGACCTTTAAACATTTGCCAGAGATCTTTACCAATTGAGTTATTAACACTTGGTATCATCATCACTTTTCTTTGCAGTCGCTTATTCTATTCAGCTTCAATTCTTTGATTGAGTGGATAGACCGGAATCAAATTAGAAATTATGTTATAATCATAGATTGTTATATGTTATTTCCATCGTCTCCTTGATATTGAAGTCCTAACCCTGCAGTGGGTTCGAGTTACTTGTTTTGGCTGTTTTGTTTGGGAAATGACAAAACCAGTCACTGAAAAGTGCTTACGGGTGTGTGTTATACGTTTAACATTCTATTGAGTAAATTGCAAGTCATTGTGTGTTTGGAACATACTAGTGAATATTGGTCAAGAAGAGACTTGTGAGTTGATGATAAAACGAGTGATGCTTGTTAACATAATGTTTTATAAATGCTTTTGAGTCTGCAGTTTTTTTTTACAAAGATTTTCATAGCTCAAATGTGTAAGTTTTTATTTATTATGGTGTAGAAATGTTGACTGATAATGGTGTTTAGAAGTATATTATTTTCTGACAAAAAAAAAAGAAGTATATTATTCAATCATGTAATAAATTTAAATTTATGTTCAATCCGAATTATTCATTTTTTATAATATAAATTATGCATTAAATCTAGTTCTATTAGACATGGTATCTGTAAATCTTGTTTATCCTTTAAAAAAAAAATAAGTTTTGGTCTTATTCGCTTAAGACATAATAGAAAATCAAAAAAAGGGAAGAACAATCAAAACAGTCATCATATTTACTTGCAATCGCTGTTCATCTCACACAACAAATTTGAAAAAAACAATCAAATTCGTCATTGCTAATTCTAACTCTTTCCGCTTCAATTCTTTGATTGAGGGAATCTAATTAAAAATTATGCTTTCATTATTTTTATCTTTATTTATTTATTTTATTTTCCATGCGTGATGAGACTATCCATATATGGTTATGATCATAGATTAATTCTAAGCTTAAACCATTTATCTTTTAAATAAAATATTTACCTTCTTTGGAAAAGAATATATCTAAATTGATAAATATCATAGGAAGCAGTTGATGGTTAGTAGTTAAGATATGACAAACTTAGCAAAAATGAAAACAACTATTTAAGTTTTAATTAAGCATGTAGGCTTCGGGTTATAAGCCTAGCCCAGCAGTGGGTTCGAGTTGCTTATTTTGGCTGTTAATTACCAAACATTCTTAGATCACCTCATTGCACATCCAAGAAGGGGTCTTAAATTTCTTTTTAATATAAAATAATATTTAAAAAAATAAAAAATGAAGAAAGACAAAAAAAAAATGTCTTCCCACATACTTCTAACCATCAGTTAAAGACACTATGGTACTATGTGTTGGTGATCAATGCGATGCTGTGCTTGCTTAGGTGAAGGTTTAATTGCACCATTTATTTGTTTACACACACCAAACACATATTCAATCACCTATAAATGCTATGAACCAGTTTTTAACAATCGGCTTGTAATTTTTTTTTTTCTCATATGAGGACTTGTTTTGGGAGTTCTGGAAGCACTAGCCCTCGCATTAACAGTCCCAGCAGTACATGCTCGCAGCTCGTCACAAGGTATCTGACACTAAAACTTTTGCTCTTGTTTGCTATTTTCCTGACTTACACACAATGAAGAGGAGAACACATAACTCTATTCCATTATAGACATTTATATTGTGCTGTTGTTGTTCTCATATACTCAATGTAAGCAAAATAAATTCTATTTAATCTTTTTTTTTTTGTAAGCACCCTATAATTGTAGCATTCCACCATTGGAGATACAAAATTTACATTTTAAATCTTAAAGTTCTTAACCTTAAAATTTTCAAAATTTTAAGGTTAAAAAATTTGGAGGTGGTTTTAGAGTTTTTAATAATTAAATATTTATTTAATTGATTTAATTTAATTATAAAGACACTCTATTTGAGTAAGACTGATAGAGACGCTCTTACGAGTTATACCTTGGAACATTTTGTTGAGTATATTGTAATCTGGACTCAATTTCCCCAAAAAAATTAAAACATAATATCAAATTTGAGGTTTATTTTTAGGTATGTTCGCATTAAGCACCCATAATTATAATTCTAGTAATAATAACCAAAGTCAAACGTTTGGCTTAGATTGCACAACTAGTTGATCGGATCCGCGCTACAGCGCGGGGGAATATTCTCTAATATATAAATAAAATCATATATATAAAGTAAGGTTTCACTCTCTCCTTATTGGTCCATTTGTATTTGATTTTTGAAAATATAATATTTATTTGTAATTAAACCAAAAACAAGTGGAAGCTCCCTTAGTCTAGTGGTTGACGAAGGGTTGTTTAAAGCTTCTAAACCAAGAGGTCCGGGGTTCGACACCCAGGTAATGCGATTTATTAATTTGCAGATTAATGAGATAAGCTTACATGAAATCTATAACAATGCACAATTAGAGCCGTTCGCCGTGATTCTACGCATGGAGAAAGAAGGTGTGGTCAGGAAATGGTGTAATCTGTGGTGAATCTAAAAGGGTCGGACAAAATTGTCGGTAATAGAATCGTCATTGTAACAGTTCTCATAATTTGCAATAAATAATAAATCAAGAGTTAAAAAAAAAAACAAAAACACATTTAATCATATACATCAATTCATACTTTAAATTCACACTTTACTACTAAAATGTAACTGAAAATTATATAAATTGTCAAAGACTATTGGTTTTCTTTATCGAATTTCAATTAAACACACTATAAATTATAATTATAAATCCTCTAATTTAATTATTTTAGAATTGTAACTTACATTACTTCTTATCCTATAAATAATCATTCTCACATCCTCCTCTACTATATCGCATATCTTCATTAGTTTTTTTTTTTTTGGAAGTTCTTGCATGGGGTGACAACTCAATTAAGATGTCATTGTAAGAGTTTGATTAAATATTTGGTTTAAAATTTTGTTTTCAATTTTATTTATTTATTTTTTTGATGTATTTCTTCATTTCTTCATTGTTTTTTATATTTTTAAATGTAATATATATGTATAATAATATTTTATGGTTGTAAGAAAAATATTTTATTGATGGGATTCAAAAATCTTGATTTCCGACCATTGCAAAATAAGAAAATCAAGCTAAAGAAACCATCTTCATTATTACTTTAGATGTTTGTTTCTTTCTCACATATTCATGTATATTTATTTTAATTTCAAAAGTATGTATTTTTTTTTAAAAAAAAAATTTTGTTTTACAATGATCAAACCCATTTGTTAGACATTCTTTTAAGAATAATGATCCTTATAATTAGTTTGTGATTTAACATTTAATAATATAAAGAACATTATAATTTTTGTTAACTTTGAATTTTATACTTGATTTCCTATCTATAAAACAATTTGATATTCAATTTTATGTCTATATATAACAAAAATTAAATTGTATCTTATGCCAATGATAGTGGGATTTGCCCAATATATTTTTTTCAAACATTTGAGATTTAGAGTTAATATAGTATCTTATGCCAATGATAGTGGGATTTTTATTCTCGATCTGGAAACCGGCTGATGAATACTTTTTTAATTCTCTTTTACTATATTCTTTTAATACTACTTAATTTTGTCCGATGTTATAACTATCCGAGTAGTTCTAATCGGGTTATTTTGTTATAATTTTCCCAGTTGACCCAACCCATGTTTTTTGTACTCCTATTTTACTAATACAGTATAGGGATATTTATTTATAACATAATTTTTTTTTTCATTTTTCATGCTTT